ATGGCTGCTTCTGCTGATTTTGCACGATCAAGTAGGGAATTACAAATTTTTTTATTAAATTGTGCTTTCTCATATATATCTATAATCTCTTTAATTAGACCAGATATTGTAGCGATTATTGGTATAAAGGGTTTAATGGTTTCTCCAATTCCCATCACTTTCGTTGCACATCCACCAAGTTTTGAAAATTCCTCTGTCGCATCTATCATAGTATCTATACCATCTGTAAGGCTACCGATATTTTCTGCCATCTTTTAATTTGTTATTTATGTCGAATTTAATTATGTATGCGTTTAAAACTACATAAATTTAATATTCAATCACTATGTTGCCGAACTCCGGTCATGTACAACCAAGCTTGATGTAATAAGATTGTGCAATCTTCTTAATTAAAAACATATATAAATTTATTTTATATTCATTAATTTAACGCATTCAGTTTTATTTAAAAACTAAATTTTATTAAAATTGGGTTCTTTTTCTAATACGAAGTCAAAGTTTTTAAAAATACTGTATCGATGTTTTACTATTTCTATACTTATAACTGATTTTAGAATTTTTTATTACGTTTCACAATGTAAGAACTCTGTTTCACAATAACTCATCATGGTTGTAAAAAAGAACACAAATCTCGTGAATGGCGCAGAAAATTTCATTGATAAGCATTAAACCTAGCTCATCAACAAAATAAATATTCGCAAGTTTGTAAATAAAATGCATAAAAAAGAATGTGAAATTTCCAAAAAAATTTACATATTGAAAAAATTAATGATATTTACAAGGAATAAGTATTGTAAAAGTAATTGTAAAATTTCACAATTAGAGTGTCCGGTAGCAAGTGCACGCTAATAATGGTATGCCAAATACTAATTTAGCATTAAGGGTGCTCTCAAGCATCTTTCTCAATGTAATTAGCTAGCTATAGAGATCGTGCACAAGTACTACGATTGATTGAAGTAATCCTTATGATAATTTTGTCGAAGATTCATGCTGCGAAATGCGGATATTAAATTTTAGTCAAACAACACAACTCTATGATAAAAAAGATGGTCTCTTTTTCTCATCGCGATAATGAACTCACTTGAACGAATAATTTATTTTTTTTCCACTAATTAAAAATTGAACTCAGACCTATTAATTTAGATGCTTGGGAACATCCTAAATATAGGGTGTTTTCAAGCATCTCAATCAATTGATTAAATAATCATGATAACGCTTTAGAATCACGATATTTACAGTATAACAGTATAAAATTAAATCCTTGTGCATACTCTTTCTATTTTTCGTAATCTTCATTATGCCAATTAAAACACTTAAAAATTTAACAGAAAATTCCTACTCAACCGTCTGCCGAAACTTCAACTTCGGTTGCGTCGGCTCTTCCCTTTAATGATTTCACAAATTTGAATCTTTGGTTGTAACAACAAAAGAATCGGTCGCATAGGTGCAGTTATACTAAAGGCAGGGTGGTTTTCTAATCGTGAAACAACTGCATTGAAGTAGCATAGATTATATAACAATGTTTTCAAAAAAAGCTATAACCTTCATTAATTTTGGGCCTTTTTTGCTGAAAGCCTTAAATTTAGATAAGCGAAACACGAGACAACAGTATTCATTATGGTTTGATTAAATGTCAAAAGATGGTTTGTAGTAATGCTTGGATCCGCGGATATCGACTATCTGTTAGTTCGATCCGCCGGATTTTTATATCCAGTCATAATCTATCCGATGAATCGTTAAAAATTTATTAAAGAATATATTTATTTTTTTAACCGAAAAATTAAATTATTTAAACAGCAAAATATTTAATTAATAATAATTTGTTAATTCGAGTACTTTCAATTACTTAAGTTATATATGTTATATGCCAAATTGAAATTTGTGTCAGATCAAAAATTTCAATACTGAGTTCATTAAGGTTAGAGTGAAGCCCTATGTTAAGGTAAGGTAGGTATTAGCGGCATTATAATTATTTTTGATTTGACGCATATTTTAATTTGACGTACAAGAACACCCTTATTCGCAAAAATACCGTTCCTGATGGATCGTCAGTACTGTTCCTGATAGGGTGGAAAAAAAATCGATTTACATACTGTTCCTGATAGGGTTCTAAAAAGGGCCTCTAAAATACTATACTACTATAATGAAAAAGTTAGGATTAGGGTTCGTTTTTAGGACCCTATCAGGAGCAGTACTCAAATAAAAATTTTTTTAACTCCATCAAGATCGGTATTGCCGATCCATCAGGAATAGTATTTTTGCCCCTTATTCAATTTTCCGACTATTTAAAATTTTGCTTCCCAATCCATTGAGTGCAGTGTTGAGACATGACTAGGTCATGTCCCAACACTGAATTAGTGAGATGCTTGAGAAAATCCATATAATATGTATTTATTGTTATAATGTTATGACACCACTAAGGATGAAAAAAACCAGTTTTAAACACTTTTTCACCGATTTAAAACCGGTGATGATTAAAAGTCTGAGTAGCTAAATTTATTTTAAATATACTAAGACCATTACCTGTTTTTAATTACATAATTTCCATCCCTAAACTAGGGTGTCCAGAATTCTGCAATTTTTATCCGTTATTTTCTGCACATAATTGTACGGATTTTTGCAGCTAGCCTGGCCAGCACTATCAATATTATTTGGTAGCTTTATGCGGGATTTGACAAGACAATTGTTAAGTATTATTTCGGGCTAACAATAAGCTACGCCTCAAATTCTGCAAATTCTACGAGTTCAAATCATTAAGCCAATAAAAATACACTATTTAACTACGGATTCTGCAAATTCTGCAAATTTAGTTGAATTCGGCAAATGCACCGCAAATTTTGCAGAATTTCTGTGATTGAGAATTCTGGACACCCTACCCTAAACACCACAGTGCTACTATTATATGCACTACAAGATCAAGCATAACATACGGTCAAACAATTGTGAGAGTTAAAATTAGATTTTAAATCGTCAGTATATAACAAAACAAATTATAAATAAAATGTAAACTATTGTTAATGATACAAGAATCATGCAAATCAATAACACACTTTTTCTTCTAAAAATTATATTTAATAATATCTAGATAAAATGAAAAGAATAAGTCGTAAATTTAAAAATAATTATACATGAAAAAATACTAATTTATAAGATACCAACTCTTCAAAGATACATTCCAACAAAAGCTCCAAATACAATGAAATTAATAATCTAATTTTTTTATTTCAAAGGAATTTGTTCAAAAGTTGTTTAATTATAGGGCGATCTACCGACGCAACAAAAGCAGACGATCAATAACCATGTTAGCTATTATGCTTCAAGAGTTAATTAGATCGGGGAATAGAAAATAAAAATAGAATCTATATCGCTTATTGCTGTGCCGATAAGAAAGACAAGTCATGTGAATGTTGTGTCGGTAGACCGTCCCCAATTATATATAGTGTTCCGACCTGTTTCAAAAATCCCAACCTGGGTCACCCGGGTGGTAAATGAAAGCTACTGGTCACCTGGGTGGTAAAGAAAATTCTGTAAAAAGTTATCATTTTAATACTACCGGAAAACAAAAAAAGCTTCATATATACCAATAAATACACAAAGAGACTTTAAATGAGTAGACAGATAGTGTTAAGTGAGAGTAAATATGATATTTATTACAAATAAGCCCGATATCATTAAATAATCTACAAAACATATACCAACCATCTAATTTACACTTGACGAACTATAATAACCGACCAAATTTAAACTTTAGCCTAGATTATTTACTGCTGAAGAATTTGTATTCATTCAAATTACATAATTAGCAATTAAAGTTGAGTTTTAAACAAAAACATTTCCAGTAGTTACATCCTATAGCACAATTTTGTACGGTCCAATAGGTAATAATGTTTTTTGTTAAGGGAAGTCTGTGAAGAGTAAAATCTTTGAGGTTTTTTTGTATAGTGGATATTAACGTTTGTTTAAGTGTATAAATAAGTTACCCGGACAATAGCCAATCATCCTAAAGTCTTACCATGAGGTCACCCATGAGTAGATCACCCCAATCAAAAATCTTTTGCATGTGTATTACTCTACGTAGTGTAACCGTTGAATGGGAGAGCTAATAAAATAATACGGAAATGATGCCAATCTAACTCCAACGGTGTACGGATAATA